TTTTTTTTGGTTTTTATATAAATCTCTCTGTTTTTTTATGGTTTATGTATATATATATATATATATATATATATATATATATATATATATATATATATATATATATTTAGAAAACGTTTCCTTTATGCTGCCATGAGCAATATATTTTGCATAGTAGTTAGTAGATGAGTGAAATTCAGTATGCTATACAGGTCTATGAAACTTTATTTAATATTATAAGCATTTCAAGAAACATTCAAATGATGCACCCAAAAAATACAAGAGAAGAATGCATTCTAAACACTGAGCTTCACCAAGGTTGTACATCAGCTCATAGAACCAACATGGCCTGAATGTAATCATTAACAAAACAGTTTTCATATTAGGCCTATCAATCTAGTAAAACATCTAATTAATGTTTATTTGAAAGTGAACAGCACAGTCAAATATCTGCACTCCACTTCCAGTGAAACTCTTTAAAAATGTACACTACCGCCAGCGCATGAAGACTATTTGAGCAGACAATCAGCTTACATTTTTTCCTTCTGTCTTGCTACACCTCGTTTGGCTTTAATTGACTATGACATGTCTGCTTTACTAACACAAAGTTGTAAAGCCTAGAAACTCAGAATATTTCATTAAAAAAATATGAAATTTGATAACGACACATCAATTAATACTCCAACTTATCAGACCAGTTGAATAATTATAAATTTCTGAAGCCAGTATTTCTGAAGTTCATTTAACATTATTGTTAGGTAAGAATTAATTATACTTTGAACGTTTGAAGATGTTTCTTTAATGCAGGCCTCCACAACTCAAAATGTAAGGTGGGCCGTAATACTTGATGAAAAACTTGTGTGGGCCAAAAAAAATAGGACAGGGGTAAAGCTAATAAGAAAATAATAAGAATAAAGAATAGTTAATTACTTCGCAGGCCACAAAGTGAATGCTGGCGAACCGCATGCGGCCCGTTTGTTGTGCAGGCCTGCTTTAATGAATAGCAATGTCATACACGTAGAGAAGCATCATCAGGCCCATATGACATTGTCTATTTTACCCCTGGGGATAGATATTTTCTTTCTTCTTTATAAAGCAAATAAATGATCACATTGTTAGTTAAACTTATTTATTTTATTTGATGTCAGTTAAAGGTAATTGATGGTCCATGCATACTACGCAAGCTACCTTTTTATCATATTTCTCTCGTTTTTGTAATGTCATTTAAAAATCCAAATAAGTAACTGTAGGCTGGTAAGTGTAGGCGTGTAGAATTGGTAGTGTATGATGGTAAATGTAAGATGGTAACTGTAGGGGGGTAACTGTGCGATGGTAACTTTGGGATGGTAAATGTAAGATGGTAACTGTAGGATGGTATATGTAAGATTGGTAACTATAGGGTGGTAACTGTAGGATGGTATATGTTAGATGGTAACAACAAATCAATATTTAACTGAATAAATTGCACTATCCAAAATCTTGTTAAAAATAAACTCAAAAATTCCTTTTCTGGGTCAAGAATTAAATCATCTACACCTCCAAAATCATTGTCTCTTTTTAATAGAGAGTTTCTTCTTCTATATATTAAGGGCCCACGATCACTGTGTTGATCATTCTGGCTCCTATGTAAGTAGACTTTATCTGTCTTTCGTGTGGGGAAATCACTTTCAATACCTAGTTCTTCTGCCAATGATTTATCTGTCTTTACTATGGGAAATTGCATTCAATACCTAGTTCTTCTGCCAATGATTTATCTGTCTTTCCTGTGGGGAAATTGCGTTCAATACCTAGTTCTTTTGCCAATGTTGTAATTGCTTTATTAAAGATTTCATTTGTAATTTTTTTTTCCAAACAGGAAAACCGTTCAATCGATTTAAAAACAAGATCACTCACTCTCTTTTGCTAGATATAACGGTACTGACCTCTACAAAACTATTA